TACAGTAGGTTTAGGGTATTTGTAGTTAAACATGCTGTGTTCTGTAGCCTTGAGCATGCTAGTTCTGGCAGGCTGCTTCTACCAGTAAACAGTTACTGTTGCCTCTGCAAGCCGCTTTGCAAACCTACCTCCTACATTTAGTGCTATTCGTGCCATTTCTGTCTGAATAAATGTCATGTCTGTTGTCACTGATGCTCGAACTGTTCTGGTTTGTTGTTGCTGCTCTCTCTCTTTCACCAGGTGCTTTCCATGTCTTTGTTTATACCTGCAGGGAGGTCCCAGAACAGAGCCATACTGCCTAATATAAATGATTGAACAACAATCCTATTTTTACTATAATGTTCCTGACTGAACTATTAATGATAGCTTTTCATTTCCCTGCAGGTTTCAGAACAATCAGGACTTCTGGGATCTTTTCTGCAGAGGGAAAATTCAAAAGTAGGCGTCACTAAGGACTACGCCGCAGGACCTAAACTGCGTTAACTTTGGGACTTGCAACTGTTATCACTTTTGTCTTAATAGATTTTTAAGATGTGGCGTGCTCTGAGAGGATGAAAGTGGGCAAAGCGTGTGAAATGATCCCTGTCGTATTTAAGATCTTTGCATCACTCAGGCGGGTTTATAGTTTCGCTGTCATCTGCACAAGGACCAAAACTGACTGCCTGTTCATCAGATCCATCATTTCATTTCGCAGTTTTTATGGCTAAAATGTTTATTCTGTTCACCATCGTGTTGCGTTTTGTCTTAGCTGTGGCACATTACGTTACTAAATATTTGCATCTGTTGTATTTTATTTTTAATTTTTACTTTTAGTTACGGAGAATTTCCATTTTTGGGGGGGATGCATGAATGACATATCTTATGTACAAAGTTTTTTGTGATTAGTTTGATGTCAAGCATAACATATAAGCAGTTGGGTCAGGGATTAGTTAGCTGAAGTCTAAGGAGCTCAGTAGCCACATCCATGTCTGCATAGGTGTTTGTTTGTTTGTTTGTTTTATTTTAACAGGAACACATTGTACTGAACATCTTTATTGAAATCAGTGTGTGAAGGGATTTGATTTTGATGTGCTGTTTTGTTTTGTTTTTCATTGATCTTGCAATATAAATATTATGTAGCCTTTAAAAGGTCGATGTACTGTCTTGTGAATACTAGTAAAGAAATATAAAAACTAAACTGTGAAACTGGGATAATAGTTTGATGCAGGCATTTAGATGCACACAGTACATGAGGACTGAATACTTAGGAAGACTGCTGCTGTATATTCTGCAGTAGAGCACAGTCCTGCACAGCCTGGTCCCAAAAGCAAAGTTCATCAAAGGTTATTACTGATTGGCCACATGATTAAAACCACTGAATGTAAGTTGTTGCCTTTTTTTGTAAAACCTTGGATCCTGGGATTCATATAGATGCTATGTCAACATGTATCGCCTACCTAAAAACATTGCTGCAGACCAAGGATCAAGGAAGTAGCTTCTCTCCAGCGTGCACCACCGAAATTATCCTTTGAGCTTCCAAACGTTTTAGAAGTTCACAACAATAAGCCTGATTCAAAAAGGACCCACCCTGCAGTCTACAGGACCCAAAGAACACCATAATACATCTGCAGATGTCTTATGTCCAGTGTGTCAGAGCTGTATATTGTTAGGCAGGTGTCTGATGGACGTATAGCTCACTTGAAATCTGAGGAGTTGTACTGGCCCTGTTTCAAGCTCATAGCTCAAAGCTGTCTGAATGTTCGTCTGGTTTAAAACAAAATAACAGGCGACACTAACCAGATGCTATCCACTGTAAACCATATAGTCATATTCTCAC